GGCTGGGCCCTGCTGTGCCCCGGCGGAGGGGGGCGAGCGCCGCTGAGGGGGGGAAAACCGTCCTCCGCTGAGGGGGGGTCCACCGGCCCGTTCCACCGCCATCAGCGCTGGGCCTGCCCCCGGTCGCTCCGGACGGCCGAGCTGTCGCCGCCTTCCGCCCTCCGTCTCCCTTTCCCTCATGGCGGGTGTCTTTGGGGCACCCTTCCCCTCAGCATCCCTTTGACGCTCTGTGGGCCCTGACCCCCTCTGAGGGGCAGGGTGGAGCGGTTTGGGTTCCCTCTCCTCTGCTTCCACCCCTCGCCTCTTGTCCCCAGCTACAAATCCGTGGTCCTGCAGGAGGTACGGTTGCCATTTGTGGTCTCCTCCTGCTTGGGTGTTAAATGGCGTTCAGTGCTGGAGCACCAAGAATCTTGAGTTTGTGAGGCGTTTGTCCTCAAATCATCCCATGCAAAATCAGAGAATCATCTAGGTTGGAAGGGGCCTTCAAGATCATCTCGTCCAACCATCAAGCTAACTCTGACAAAAAAAAACATCGCTAAACCATGTCTCCCAGCACCACGTCAACCCATCTTTTGAACACCTCCAGGGATGGTGCCTCAACCGCTTCCCCGAGCAGCCCATTCCAAGGCTTGATAACCCTTTCTGTGTAAAAAATTTTCCTAATATCCAACCTGAGCCTCCCCTGGAGCAACTTGAGGCCGTTTCCTCTTGTCCTGTCGCCTGTGACTTGGGAGAAGAGAGCGACCCCCACCTCTCTACACCCTCCTTTCAGGGAGTTGGAGAGAGCGAGAAGGTCTCCCCTCAGCCTCCTTTTCTCCAGGCTGAACACCCCCAGCTCCCTCAGCCTCTCCTCATAAGGCTTGTTCTCCAGACCCCTCACCAGCTTCGTTGCCCTTCTCTGGACCCGCTCCAGCACCACAATGTGGTAAGGGGCCCAAAACTGGACACAGCACTCAAGGTGAGGCCTCACCAGTGCTGAGTACAGGGCAATGATCACCTCTCGAGTCCTACTCCCCACGCTGTTCCTGATACAGGCCAGGATACTGTTGGCCTTCTCGGCCACTTGGGCACACTGCTGGCTCATGTTCAGCCGACAGTCGACCAACATGAAGTAACAAATGAGGTAACCCTGGTTTGTTCCCACTTGACAGCCAAAGAGCCAAAGGATGGAAAAAGTTATTTCAATATAATCGATCTCAAACGTTAAAAAAGCCCCAACTGCCAACAATGCGTCTTTTCATTGCAGGCTTGGGACTGCGTTTCTGGGTGTAGTCAGGTCATGTTCTCACATTTCTCTGCTGCCAGGACAGCCAGGCACAAGTGCCTTTGTGCCAGTGACAGCTGAAATTCTCAATACGTTCTCTGCCTCCGGTAGGTGTGAGGATAATAAAATAACTGTTACCTCACTCGCAATCAAATTACCAGAACTGGCAGCACCTACTTTAAAAAAAAAATTTAAGAGGGACTTTGCAGAACCCATAGGAAGTTCTGGTCCCTAACCAAGAACTCACCATGCCCCATCCTTACTGGCAAATAACACTCTGCAAAATACCTGTTATTACACAGAAATGCAATTTTAGGCATCGGCAATAACAGCTGCCAAAAACGAGCCTTGCAAAGTCTTTAACTTAAGGTGTCCTTGAATTATGTTTAAAGCAGCTTTTGACACAGTTTTAAATGCAACATAATGAAAGTTATGGGCAAACAATAGGAATTGTGGATTGGGGCAAGTGGAACAAGGTTACATCAATGACATCACAATTACCTGGGCATGCTGTAGACACTCTTTACCCGCCATTGTCTTTTCTCTCCTCCTTTGTATGGCCTCTTACAAATGGAGATGGAACCTGTCCTACATAATGAAATTGTCGGACCGGAATGCAAAGAGGACACAGGTCCTTGAACTTTAATATTAGGTTTGCGTCACTGAGTCACTCAGCAGGACCAACCTGATCCGGGTGAGATGGTGAGGCCACTATTACACTGGAAATAAACTGGGTCAGGACACGAAACACAAAGTTGACGATGCCTTTGTGCTCTTTCGCTGCTGTTGTGCCAACTGTAAGAGAAGGGAGATCTAATTAGCATAAAACTCACCAGCGTAAAGTTAATTCTTCCATTTTGGGCTTTGTTTTAAACAAATTCAAACTGCAGAGTGAAATTGTATTGGGTCAGTGCTGTGTGTCATGGAGCCCCATCATTTCTGATCTGGCGTCAGGAGTTTTAAAGCTGGATTGACTGTATCAAACCACAGCCCAAGATGCTTTTTCCCTCGGAAGAGGTGCTGGGTTAAACAGCTGTTTAGCCTTTTGCTGCTTTCTTCCCTTAACCTTCAGCTATGTCAACAACGTCATCCAATTCACTACACGGCTATGTAAAGAGTTTGTGTTGGGTTAAGTGTCGTCATGGAGAGAGGGCAGAGGAGCCAGTTTACACCATTGATCCCACCAAAATTTTGGCATCACCGCATTTTTATTATAGCTAATCAAGATAGCACTTCAGTCCTACTGAAGGAAAGATTCCCATCTTTTTCTGAAGCTACTTGCTCCTGTTCCTTGTCTTGCATTTGTGGCAATGCATATGTTTTGACCCCCTTAGTCTCTAGTTGTATCAGTGAGATGATTCATCAGGGAGTGGAGTGATAGGATATGGGGTAACAGTTTTAAACTGAAAGAGGGAAGATTTAGATTAGATTTTAGGAAGAAATTGTTTCCTGTGAGGTTGGTGAGTCACTGGAAGATGCTGCCCAGGGAAGCTGTGGCTGCGCCATCTGTCCCTGGAGGTGTTCAAGGCCAGGCAGGATTGGGCTTTGAGCAACCTGGTCTGGTGGGAGGTGTCCCTGCCCAGGGCAGGGGGGTTGGAACTCGATGATTTCTAAGGTCCCTTCCAACCCAAACCATTCTGTGATTCTGTGATCCACACAGTCATATATTCTAAAGACACTGGTGGAAGTGGGGAACTGTTGCTTCTGGGGACTGTGATCATAAACCATCTTAACTCGTGATTTTCCCATAATCCTGGAGAGACAAATTTCTTGCCACTGCTTTTCATCTTAATGTCATGTCCAATTCCTTTACTTCTAATTTATATATTCAAGTATGTAATTTGCCCTTGATGGTTCTGAACTATCTGCTCTGTTCTTTCCACCCCACTGAGACCACCTCTAGAAGATCTCTAACTATGGTCTTACAATTTTAAATGATACCTCTGTTTAAACTGCTACTATTGAAACCTTGAAATGTTGTTCTTTATTGATTTATGTTCTCTTAGTTTGTCTGCTTCTGCAGTGAATCTAATTCCAGGGCATATTGTTCCTCACCTATTTTCAAAAAGCTTGAAGCCTTCAGGCAAAAGGTTCTTCTTGAAGGCTTTTGCTTTTACCCTCATCTTTCCTCTTTCATGCAAATTACTGCAACTTCCATTCTGTGCCAAAGATTTGAAAATGGATTTTCTTACATTGACTCAGAAAAGCTCTTAATCCAAAGCATATGTCCCACAGGAGTCACTTAACAAATTTCAGGTGGTTTTTGGTTTTTGTTCTGAACTGTGATATACCTTTGTCAGGTTTATTAGATCACTACCTTTATTGTAGTTGTAGTGGTCTAAGGGTATAAGGATAAAGTTACATGGTACGTCTGCTTCAAAAACCAGAAAGTCCTGTTCCTCCTCACTTTCCAACAACCCCTCTACCTTTAGGTTATATACTAAGCTATATACTTATATACTAAGTTATATACTAGGCTATATACTCCACCTGGGGTATTAATCTGGTTGTTCAATAAACCAATTCAACTTGACAACTAAGCTAATTTTTGTTCTTTCTTTTTTTTTTTTTTTATTTACTTTTCTGCCAGATAATTAAGTTGAATTTGAATCAACTCCGGGGAGGGTTAAAAGAGTGCCAGAGCTGGAGGACAGCAAGGACACTAGTGAAGGGACTGGAACCTCCCACCTGGACAGCAAAGAAAGCCATCGTGAGTAACTTCAAGAAAGACAGATTTGTAGAGAGTGGCAATATCTTTTATTATAGTAACTGATACAGCAGGCAAAAAAAGGAAGCAAGCTGTTCCCCAAACTTACTGGCTATAGCTGGGATAGCAGCTATTCTAAAATACTACCTCTTTCTGCAAGTCTTCCTTCTTTTTCCGAATTGAAAAAACCCAAAGTTTCTTTCCCTCAATCCCCTCGTTCTCTGACAGTGGTGGTAATCCTGGTGGTACTAGTAATGCTTTACCAGTATGCTTTACAGCGAGGCACGTAACTTGAAATTTCCAGCTTGCAAACAAGTATACTTTGTCCTTTTCTGTTGTTTCCCCTCTCTTCGTAAATTGCCACTAGTACATTAGATTTTGAAAATGGTTTTTTCCTGTCTTCTGTCTAGTCTGTTAATTACTAGCTTCTTGTGTCCAAGATATTAAGAAGAAGGGTGTGGGAAAGAGAGGAAGGCAAAGAAACTCTTATCAGTGTTTATGTGTAAACAAAGGTAGCTTTGGCAGCACTTCAAATCCTTCATTTGTCCTCAGGATAGGGAGATAAATAGGAGCTTCTAAGTGATTTTTGTCTGTCTTTCATTCCGATTCTTTCCTTTGCTTACTCCTGTTTTATCAGCTCAGGTGTCACATCCCTGCACATTTTTTCTGGGCTATCATCACCTTCACTGAAATGATTGCTCCCTAATTCTCCTCTCAGGGGACTCCCACGCTGCCACTACCTTCATATCTTCTCTATGTTTTTTTTTCTCACCGCCACTTCTACCTCCCCCATTTCATCTCTTCCCTTAATGGATCGGGACGTCATGGGTTATGTTTTGTTTGCTACGACAATTGTCAAGGAGGAGGAAGG